TATATATATATATATATATATATATAAATTGCATTGCTAAAATGTCTAAATCTTATTGTATATTTTGAAGTGAAAAAATTCTATATTTTTTTTCATGCTTTATTTTGTCAAAAAAATTTATTAAAATAAAAAATTTGCATGAAAATGATTATATTTTTGTAATTTATTAAAAATTATATAGAGAGAGCAAATATAACGTTAGATCAACAATAAAGTAACATTATTTAATGTTTGTTACTGATGTGCGTGTACAAATTTTATAAAATCTATATTTATTTCTTTGCAAAAATAAATAAATAAATACATAATAATAATTTTGCATTACTAAAATGTCTGAATCTTTTATCATATTTAGAAGTGAAAACATCCTGATAGATATGCAAACCAAGTAACATCATTTAATGTTCTTTACTAATGATGAATTTGAGCAAATCTGACCCACGTTTAGTTTTCTTTGCAAAAAATGTCTATATCTTAAAGTATATTTATTAGTGAAAACATTCGGATAGATGTACGAACCAAACAAAATAGCAATTTAATGTTCGTTATTGATTTTTTAAATATATATTCTGACCAATATATATATTTGTATCTGTGCCAAAAAATTAAATAAAAAATATAATTGCATTCCTGAAATTCTCAAAGTATATTTAGAAGTGAAAACAAGATGCGCAAACCATCATTTAATGTTCTTTACTGATGTATTTGTATATATTCTGACCCAAAAAAAATAATTGTACTGCTAAAATGATAGTTTTAGAAGTGAACAGTGGGTAGTAACTGATTACATGTAATCTAGATTACATAAAAGTAAGTACTTGTAATGAGATTGTATTACATTTAAAATTATTATAATCAGATTACAGTACCTTTTTTTAATACATATTATTCAGACAATGTCAGTAAATTATTCAAAACTTTTTTTTTTCTTTTCTTTTAACATTTCCTTTCTAAATGAACCTATTACTTATTTACATTTGAACAGTCTTCCGGTTTTAATTTTAATTAGTATTTGCAACGCTTCTGAATAAAAGCACCTCTCAATCAATTAGGCCGTGTATAATTGCATATAATTGCAAGTTATTAAACACTGCCGATGCATAGCTGTGAAATACTATGTCTTCTTCATATCCCGTGAACTTCGTTAATTATTCATTCTGGAAGTCTGGATGAAACTATTTCAAACCTGGAAGACTTTGGCCATGTAATATTCCCATGTTTATATAAACGAGTTAGGTCAAAAGTAATCTAAAAGTAGTCAGACTACATTTACCTAATATGTGTAATCCAGATTATGCTAATAACTACAATTTACAACATTGCTAGATGTAAAACTAGTCCAGCTTCCTCATCGCAGCAGACAGTCACTGACCTCCATCAATGAGGAACACATGAGAAGAAATACTGGAGATTCACTTCGCTAGTTTCTACAAACAGGAGGCGAGGTGGAGAGTTTAGACTAGAAATAGAAACAGAAATGGATTCCTTACGGCCGATGAATGAGGCTGAATTTGTTGAGGTCACCGTCCGAGAGCATCTGCAAGACAAACAACAGTTCAGTCAGTCATATAGAGTACAGTTTTCCATATCTCGTCTGTACTGTATAACTTCAAGGGGAATTTCTACAAAGAGAATTGGTTGATATTCAGTGACAGACGTGTTCGGTTTGAATGTTTCGGA